GGGGGGGGGCTGCGGGTCGGGATTGAGGGGCACCGGCACCTGCGGAAAGGATGCGCTGGGTTTGCCGGTGTTTGAGGCACCCCCTATGGGCGTCACTGGAACGACGACTCCGCCACCTCCACCCCATTCTGTCTCCGCAGCCTGCGAATGCAACCGCCACTCGCACCGGTGCCGCTTTAACATGGAGCTGTACAAGCTGTCAGGGCGCAAGAGCGGGGGCGTCTGCCTGAACTGCCGGCACCACACGGCTGGGCGGCACTGCCACTACTGCCAGCCGGGTTTCAAACGTGACCTGGCCCGGCCCATCACTAGCCGCAGGGCCTGCAAGGGTGAGCAACACAGGGCACTGCTGCGGGGAAGCTCACAACTCTGGCATCCCCATCTGGGCACTACTGAGGGGAAGCTCGCAGCACCTCCCCACCCCTTGTGAGGCCTGCTGTTGGGCTAGACATTAACCCTGCATGTTTCCTTCCCAGCCTGCCAGTGCCACCCCATCGGCGCTGTCAGCACCATGTGCAACCAGACCACGGGGCAGTGCCAGTGCAAGATGGGCGTGACCGGGCTCACCTGCAACCGCTGCGCCCAGGGCTTTCAGCAGAGCCGCACGGCCCACATCCCCTGCATCCGTAAGTCTGCCCCTTATACATACTGGCTGGGTAGAATCCCCTAGACAGAGCTCATGTAGGCTGCTCGATATGGTAACCAGGCTGGGCCCATATATTCTGCTCAATACGCTAACCAGGCTGGGCCCATATATTCTGCTCAATACGCTAACCAGGCTGGGCCCATATATTCTGCTCAATACGCTAACCAGGCTGGGCCCATATATTCTGCTCAATACGCTAACCAGGCTGGGCCCATATATTCTGCTCAATACGCTAACCAGGCTGGGCCCATATATTCTGCTCAATACGGTAACCAGGAAAGGCCCATATATTCTGCTCAATACGGTAACCAGGCTGGGCCCATATATTCTGCTCAATACGGTAACCAAATTGGGCTCATGTATTCTGCTCTATATGGTAACCCGGAAGGGCCATTTATATTCTGTTCAGTATGGTAACCAGTCAAGCCCTTTGTACTTTCTTCAGTGTAGGGTGACCAGACTATCTTGATATTAGGGGCTTTGTCTTATATAGGCAACTTAAACACACCCAACCCCCCAAAAAGTGCCTCTATTTGTCACATTTGCTATCTGGTCACCCTAGTTAGGTGCAGTAAACAAATTGGGACCTGTATTCTGTTCAATATAGTAATTAGACAGAGCCCATAGATTCTGTTCAATATGGTAACTAAATTGGGCCCATATATTCCATTCAGTTTGGTAATTGGGTTGGGCCCATATATACTGCTCAATACGGTAGCCAGGCTGGGCCCGTGTATTCTATTGAATGTGGTAACTGCAGAGCCTTTCTTTTCTATTCAATACTGGAAAGAGGTAGGGTCCCTATATTCTGTTTAATAAGATAACCACTTGTAACATAGAAGCCCCGCCCACCAATTAATCCACCAATCAGATCCTGCCCAGAAAGCCCCGCCTCCTGGGAGTTTTGCAGGGGGAGGGGGATAAAATAGATGCTAATTCAGGAAGTGAGGTCATATCTCTGGATCTGACCTCTGGTTTAGGACACTTCAGGAAGTCCCGCCTGTAGGGGAGGAGCTCATTAGAGAAGTGACCTCATAGCTCCCCAGAGGTGTGGTATGTGGTGTGATGCACTCCAGGAAGGCCCACCTCTAACTGGGCCTGAGGGGGCGGGCATTGTTAATTCAGGAAGTGACATCATGGATCTGGCACTGTCGCCTGGCATGTGGCACTTCAGGATGTTCCACCTCCGGTGGTGGAAGGAGAGAGAGAGTGTGTGTCATTCAGGAAGTGACATCATAACTCTAGAAGTGAGTCATCCATCCAGGAAGTGAAAGCACTAATTCAAGAAGTGACATCATAGCTCATGACTTCAACCTGTCCTGGCAAACGGGCAAGGATCATGCCTGGAACACGCTTAGTGGCAGCCTCTCTTGCATGTTGCATGAGTGAACCTTGCTCTCTACACGCATGAGATGGGGAGGGGGTGGCAGGATCACACTTATTGACTCCACACGTCTCTCTCTTTCTTACTCCCTCCCTCCTTCCCTCCATCCCCCTCTCCCAGGCATTCAAGAGGTGATGACCACCACGGCTGCCTACCCCCTGGAGTGGAACACAGGTGCCTGGGGCAGGATGAGGGGGATCAAAGGTTGGGTGTCGTCCACCCACTCCCATTTCCCAGCCTCAGGATGGAGCAGTCACCCCCACAACTGTCCTTCCGCCCGGTGCAAAGCTCTGTAGGGAGGATGTCTGCCTACTACTGCTGCCAGCTAGGGAAAGCTGCTCCTTTAACGCAACTAACATGGCTTTGGGGGGAGGGTTCAAATCTTGCTGGTAAGACTCAGTGGAGGCCAAGCTGCAATGCAGTGTGGGTCGTGGAGCCTGCGGGTTCATGGCATGAACCAGCCAAATATGCCGGCTCTGGTGGAGGGGAATTTGGGGGGGGTGCCAAGGAAGGTGGGCATTTAGCAGATGGGGATGGAAGCGGGGCAGGCAGGAGAGGTCAGAAGAAGGGAATGGGAGGAGGAGGACAATGGGAAGAGGAGGGGAATATTAAGAGGGGGGTATGGCTGAATACATTTGTTGGGGTACCTATAAAGAAGACCCTCCCCCAATGGAGTTTCAAGGTTCCAGAGGCTGTAGACAGGAAGTGATGTCATAGCTAGCGCCCCATGATATATGGTACTCCAGGAAGTGGAAAATGTAATTCATAGCCCTGGAACTGTGACACAGTGTAGGACAATCCAGGCAGGCCCGCCTCCAAAGTGGGGGAAATGCTTATTGAGGAAGTGACATCGTAGCTCTGGAGCTGTGCTGTAGGGTAAGACATTCCAGAGAATCCCTTCTAAAAGGTGGATGGTGAACACAAATTCAGGAAGTGACATCATAACCGCAGAATTATGTCCTCTACCTGGCACTCTAGGAAGTCCTACCTCCAAGGAGGGAGGCATGCTAGTTCAGGAAGTGACATCATAGCTCCAGAACTGTGCAGTATTATGGCATTCCAAGAAGTGCCGCCTCGGGGGGGGGGGGAAACGTTATTTCGGGAAATGACATCATAGCTCTGGAGCTATTCTATAGGTCCCGCCTCCAGCGGGTTTGACACATGTAAATTCAGGAAGTGATGTGATAGCTTCTTAACAGCTGTACCATGGAGTTTCAGCACTGCAGGAAATCCTGCCTCCAAGGAAGTAGGAATGCTAATTAGGGAAGTGATATCATAGGTCTGGAGCTGGAGGTCCCGCCTCCAGGCCTGGAGCAGCAGTTGGGGGGCGGGGTCAAAGGCATGATTTGGGATGGATCCGGGTTCGTGAGAAGCAGGATGGGGTGAGGAACCGGGGATGGGCTAACCCCACTGTACCCATGTGCCCCCATCTGTGCTCTTCCCCCAGGCACCGAATGCCAGACTCACTGCAGCCCCTCCCACGGCCGCGTCCACATGAACCTGCGAAAATACTGCAAGAAGGATTACGGTAACATTGACCTGACATCATTATCATCTATCTATCCCCAGCCACCCCATCTGTCTATTCACCTGTCTATCCCATCCACCTATCTGTGTCTCTCTCTCTCTCCCCATACATGTCCATCCTGAAGCTGGGAAATGTTATATTATTGGTAAGAAAGAAAGAAAGAAAGAAAGAAAGAAAGATGTGCCATGGGGATGGATGGATAGAGAGATAGGGTGGCTGGGGATAGATAGATAGATGAGGTGGATTGGGATAGATAGATAGATTAGATAGATAGAGGGGGTGTATGGCGATAGATAGATAGAGGATGAAGGGGGATGGATAGATAGATGAGGTGGATTGGGATAGATAGATAAAGAGATAGATGGATAGAGGGGGTGGATGGGGATAGATGGATAGAGGGGGTGGATGGGGATAGATGGATAGATGTGTCCGGAGATGGATGGATATGATTTATTCCCCAGCAATGCTCTGTTCAGGATCTGGTCCCTGCTCCCTGCCCTCACTGTGACAATTGGCCGGCAGAGAATTCTCCCGCACTGCGGGGTTACCCTGAGCCGGAGGCCGGGGCTCAAGGCACAAAGGGCATTAGGCGTCTACAGGGTTTTTCTCCCAGGGATTAGGAGAGGATTATCCAGATGAGCCGCCCACTGCCCCTGACCCCGGCTCCTGTGAGCAGCCAAAGGGCGATGGATCACACACGCTCTGCACAAAGGACAGTGAGAGCCCAGCATGCCCCACTCTGCTTCCACCCCCCACCTGTGTGTCCATCCCCCCACAACCACCTCTGTGTCCATCCCCCCTCCTCCACTACCCTTCCTCACTGGCTTTCTCAGGAGCAGGCCCTGAGTGCTAGAGCCGAAATACCTTGGCAAGTCCGGGCGGCCAAGCCACTGGGCATGGTCAGGCACCATTCCTGGGAGAGTGGAGCTCTCTTTGGGGTGGTTAGAATTGCCAGGCATGGCAGGGTCTGATTGCTGTCCCTGGGTAGGAGTTGGAGCCACTCGAGGGTTTTATGGCATATGTCACTGGGTATTAATCAGCATCAATTGGTATCTGAGGACATCACTGGGTGTTGTTGGGTATCAGGAGATATCACCGGCTAGCACTGCATATTGTTTGGGTATCAATGAGTATTGTTGGGTATCACTAGTTATCATGGTATTGTTGGGTTTCAATGCATATCAATCGATATCACTGGGTATTGTTGGTTTCAGTGCGTATTGCTGGGTATCACTGGATATCACTGGATATTGCTGGTTGTCACTGGATATTGTTGGGTATCAGTGGGTATTGCTGGCAGAGTTGGATATTGGTGGGTATCACTGGATATTGGTAGGCACTCTTCGGTATTATGAGGCATCTTCAGTATTGCTGGGCATTGGTGAGCACTGGGCATGATGGGCACTACTACGTATTGGTGGGTAAATTTCACTGGGTACTGGAGTGCACTACTGGTCATCGAGGAGTAATGTTGGGTATTGGTGAGTATCATTGGTTATTGGTAGGCACTGTTGGGCATCATTTGGGATCACTGAGTTTTGATGGGTATCGCTAAGTATTGGTGAGCATCAATGGGTATTGATGGACATTGGCATTATTTGGTAATGTTGGGTGTTGATAAGTTTACTTGAATATGGGTGAGTGTTGGTATCATTGGGGAATGTTTGACATCAATGGATAATGTTGCATATTGGGTCTCATTGGATATTGGTGGGCACTGTTGGGCATCATTGGGTATTGGTGGATATTGGTATCAGCATCAATGGCTAATGTTGGGTATCATTCCGTATTGGTGGGTATCATTGAGTATTGTAGGGTGCTGGTATCATTGTCTATTGTTGAGTGTCATTGCATATCATTAGGTATTGGTATGGTCTAACGCTGAATATCACTGAGTATGGTTGGGTGTAGGTATCATTGGCTAACGGTGAATATTGCTGAGTATCGTTGAGTATTATTGGGGATTGGGGATTGGCTGAGTATTGTTGAATAACATTGAGTATTGCTGGGTGTTGGTATCATTGGCTAATGTCAATTATCATTGAGTATCACTGGGTAATGGTGAGGTTTGGTATCATTGGCTAATGTTGAGTATCATTACATATTGTTGGGTATTGCTATAATTGACTAATGTTGACATCGTTGAGTATCATTGGGGAATGGTGAGGATTGGTATTGACTAATGAGTATTCTTGAATATCATTGGGTATTGTTGGGTATTGGTATCATTCACTAATGGGTATTGTTGAATATCATTGGGTATTGGTATCACTGATTAATGGGTATTGTTGAATATCAGTGGGGATTGGTGATCATTGGCTAATGTTGAGCATCGTTGTGTATCATTGGCTGATGGCCAATACTGGCCATCATTGGGGACTGGCATCACTGGCTAATGTTGGGGATAGGGGACTATCCTGCCTCTTCCTGACCTCTGACCTCCTCCTGCAGTGCTGCATGCCCAGCTGCTGTCCATGGTGGAGTCGGGCGAGTGGTGGCACTTCACGACCTCAGTGCTGGCGGTCTATCGGCAGCGCCAGGTGCCCATCCGTCGGGGCGAGCAACCGCTCTGGGTGCCCCGGCAGGACCTGGCCTGCGGCTGCCTGCGCCTCCAGGTTGGCAAGGCCTACCTGGTGATCGGGAACGACGCGGAGTCGCCCGACCCGGCGCGCCTGGTGCTGGACAGGAACAGCCTGGCGCTGCCCTGGCGCGATGTCTGGGCCCACAAGCTCCGTCGCTTCCAGCAGCAGAACCGGCGGGGCAACTGCCGGAGCCCCTGAAACCCAAGGAGGCGGGATGGAAATGCCGGGGACCCCAAGGCTGGGGGAGGGGGCGCGCTAGGCACCCCAAGACCCGGGGCAGGGTCTGTAACGCCTGGCGGTGCTCCTGCAGGGGCTGAGATCCCCCATTGGCCCCTGAAACTGGGCCCATAACCCCTCCTCCATCCCCTAGACTCCCCCATATTCACACCCTACCCCCCACGCAGGGCCCAATCCTACCTCCCCTCATCCAGCCCTGCAGGGGAGCCCATCCCCACCCAGCTTCCCGCTGCCCCCTCACCCCACATTTTTGTAATCAGGTTGGGGGGGAAGGGGAGGAAATACCAAAGATGACCTTTGACCTACGGCCTGCTCTGCTCTTGCACTTGTAAAAAAGATAAATGGAATAAAACAAGAAGTTATTTTACTCACCGGAGAGTCTGTTTATTGGGAAGGAAACAGGGTCCTGGTTACAGTGTGGGGCCCGGGGCCTCTCCCCTCTAGGGGGCGCCAGCTCCCATCCAGCCCCAGGGCAGGGACTGGCTGGCTAAGGGGGGTGGGGAATGGGGCCCGGGGCCTTTGATGTGCAGGTTCCCAGCTGCCCCTGTCAGCAGTGGGAGGATGCGGAGGGGGGGGGGACACATCCTGCCTGAACCCAGCCCTGGTGCCATTGACCAGAACCAATCGATGGGCGCAGGCGTGAAATCGGCATCTGTGCCAGAGGGTCCTGTTACTGTGGGGGGGAGGGGGCGGCGCACGTCCACCCCCCCACAGCCTCCCCCCTGCCACTTCACACCTTCCTGCCCCTTCACTCCACCTGCCAGCCCCACTCTGCCCCTGGCTGCCCCCACACCTCCCATCTACCCATCCCTCCAGCCCCCCCACACCTCCCATCTATCCATCCACCCCCTCACACACCTCCCATCTACCCATCCCTCCCCCTCACCTCCCATTTATCCATCCCTCCCCCTCATGCTGTCTATCCTTCCAGCCCCCCCCA